CTCTCTCTCTCTCTCTCTCTCTCTCTTTCTCTCTCTCACTCTGTCTCTCTCTAGTCAAAATTAAAATAAATAGATAAATAAATAAATAAATAAGTTAAATAAAATATTTCTTTAAAAAAAAGTCTAATTGTAGAAGGGGATGAACAAGGTTGAATTGTCTTCCAGCAGTTTCTGTGAGCCAGAGAAACCTGAAATTCAGTGAACCCCCTTTGGATTCAAGAACAAAATGTTAGAATTTTGAGGGGGAAAAACAGTTTCTTCCCTTCTTATCACCAGGATGAAGCCAATATCTGTGAACCAGCAGCTTTCTAATGAGAAGATTACCAAGCATTAGTATTATTGTGTGAACCATTACGACCACTGCCGTAAAAACAAAAAGGCTTGTGGGCTCTTTTAAATTTATTATATTTTTCAGCTTAATTTCCCTATTAAAAGCACTTCTTCTCAATCTAAGTTAGCTCTCAAAGGTTTGAAAGCATTGTCAGATTTTTTTATAAAACATCGAGTATACATTAAAAGTCTGTAGAGCTGGGCCAGCAGGTGGCATGGTGGTTAAGGTGTTGGACTCCCACATGGCTGACTGTGGTTCAAGTCCTGGACTTGAAGGCTTGCTTTCCACTTTCCCTCTCTCTCTCTGGTGAGCACATGTGCCCTATAGCAAACTTTAAGAAATTAGAATAATAGTAATAATAATAAGTAAATAGTTTTTTAAAAAGTCTGTAGAGCTCACTGACTGACCCATGGCTACAGATAGGTCTCTTTCATTCTAACAGCTAAAATGCCATCAATTCTTGTTCCTGATCATTCACCCAAGACCCAGTCCTCTGACTCTCTCCACTGAGAGGTCCCTAGGGTAGAGCCTGTGTATGCTGAGCTCCACCCCAGCTCTGTGGGTGTGGCAGACTTTGGTGGGCTGCAGAGTCTGTCTGGGGTCCCAGTAAGTGCTCTCTGCCGGCAGCCACCACTGCTGATGACTGCCAGATCCTTGGGAGGCCACGTCCCCTCCTCTCCCTTTCCGTTACACTCTGCTAGGTCAGGCCTAAGACAATCTCATTTGTGGTTGGCACTTCACAGCCATTTGCGGAAGTAGCTCTTCGGGTATCTTATGTACTGGCTTCCTGCTCTCTGTGAGAGTGAGACATGAAGGCCGTTGAAATGGGGGAGAGAAGCAGGGCTCAGAACAAGAACCTGCTCCCTTCAGTACTCAGGGTTGTCCTGTGCTCTGACAACCTTGCCTCATCCTAAGATTGATCTTTTTCTTTTCTTTTTTAAAAAGTCTTGTTTTGTTTTGCCAGAGAGCACGTGCACTTGCCAGAGAGAGGCAAAGAGAGAGAGAGAGAGGGAGAGAAGGCACTTCCCTATGGGATGTGGTCATGTTGCAACCCCGTCTCCACTTCGTCACCCCATGGGGACTTGGGGCCCACTTAGACACACACCTGGCATGTTTCTCAAGCCACCAGGGCTGGGATTCGAACTGCATCATGTGGGCTATGGGTATTTTAACTACTAGTTCATGGAGGGCAGGTGGCTCTAAGTTTTGTTTATAATTCATTAAAAAATGTATTATTTATGGGGTGCAATGTAGTATTTCAATACATGTAATGTGGTGGAATTAGCATATCCCAGATCTCTCTGACCTCCTAGGAGACTTCAGTAGCCCCTCCGAAGCTTGCTTTCAGCTCTCCCCACTAGTCTACCCAACCAGCCTGAACCTCCTGCAGTGGGCACTTCCCTAAGACAAGCTACGATCCCTGCTTAGTGAGGATTCAGTCTTGTTCTGATGAAAACCACCACAGACCCCCCTCAAGGACTGAATGTGAGGTTGAGGGATTGTGCGTTGAGGACACGACGGAGGTGGAAGTGAGCGACACGGACTGGAGCTGGGGGCCGGGGGTGCTGCTGAGGTTCCTGGGAAGGCACACTGGTGTCTGTCTCTTCATCAGGCTCTGCGTTCTCTCTGCAGAATGACATCTTCGAGTGGTGCAGGGACCACCGCGTCCACCACAAGTACTCGGAGACGGACGCTGATCCCCACAACGCCCGCCGGGGCTTCTTCTTCTCCCACATCGGGTGGCTGTTTGTCCGCAAGCATCGAGATGTCATCGAGAAGGGGAGAAAGCTGGACTTCACTGACCTGCTTGCTGATCCTGTGGTCCGGTTCCAGAGAAAGTAAGTGAACGACGTCAGAGAGAGTTGTCCCCCAGGGGCCCGGACAAAGACACAGAGGGACAGTGGACGTAATAATAGCCCCGTGGCATTCTCCCCATAGCACGTACCCAAATGATCTGGCCTTGTTTTCAGGATTTATCTCTATTTATTAATTTCCTTTTGCTCATGAGGTGTTTCCTGTTGGCACCTTTGCTTTGCATTTCGGTTTGATTTGTAACGGGTTTTCTCTCCGACCAGTGTCATTTCCTTTAGGCTATAATCTCACGTGACTGACTTCGTGGAATTGTTTGTTTCCCTATTCACCCATTTGTGTTCCCCTGGGGTGGCCTGGGGGGGGGCTTGCTTTATTTTAGGGACTCACTTGGTGCTAACAGAACTGGACTCTTGCCAGGTGTCCAGCTCTGTTCTGGAATTCTCTTGTAGTGAAGCCCCTCCCCAGACCTCCGTCCCCAGGGCAATATTACACCAGCAGGTGTCTGTGCAGAGAAAATGAGCCGCGTAACAGAGAGTCTGAAAGCACTTCTGGGCCCTAATGGTGTCAGCGATCATATCTAGTCAGTTGGCGCATGCCGGCCAAACTATTTCTTGTGAACAAAGGTCGCCTATAACTGTACCGACGACTGGAGAGCGACTCTTGCTCACCCCTGCTCGCCCAGAAAGCTGGCCTCAACTGTGTACATGTTGTTCTGGGCCTGCAAAGTTGGCCACAATGATAGCATTGCTGACCCTGAAGGAATGGGTTTATAGGCGAAGAGGGATAATGGATGGACCGTGCCTTGGTTAGAACCTTGAGATAACACGGTGAATTAGTGTTCGGTAAAGGCTCTCTCCTCTGACCATGTGGGGCCATGGGAGGACGTAACTGGACAGAATCTCCTATTGAGGCAAAAGTGGAAATGGAGACTCTGCCTTTGACCAGCAGAGGAATCTGGCATGAGGGCCAGCTGGTGGCATGGTGGTTAAGGCAGCTGGATCCCACATGGCCAGCTGAGCTGTTTTGGGGCCCAGACCCAGTGGCTTGAAAAACATGCCAGGTATGTGTGCCCAAAATCCCAAGACGAGAATGGAGGAGAAAGAACTATGGTGTGGCCATCCTCCACAGGGGATAAGAGTGGGCTTTTTAACTTTCTCTCTCTTTCTCTCCAAAGAGCTCATACGCCCTTTAGCAAATTAAAAAAGAAAGAATCCTGGCATGAAAAGAAATCTAGAATGTGCTCATTTCCCCTCCATCCCTTCTTTTCACTAGAGGGAGCAGGAGAGCATGGTGGGAAAACGATGGGCCATGGAGACAGACTATGTCCCTTGACTAGCACATACATTAGTTTGAGAAACGTCCAGGTTGTTCTCCACAGCGGCTGTACTAATTTACTTTCCCACTGACAGTACAGGAGATTGCCGCTTTCACCGCAGCCTCGCCAGCACTTATTAGTCTGTGTTTTTGTAATCTTAGCCATTCTGCCAGGTTAGATGGTATCTCACTGTGTTTTTGATTTGCATCTCCCTTTTGATAAGGGATGTTGAGCATTTTTTCATATGCTTTTTGGCTGTTCATTGATCTGTCCTGGAGTTTATTCAGCTCATTTGCCCATCTTTTAATTGAACTGACTTTTTTTTCTTTTTTGGTGGGTAAGCTGCTTAAATTCTCTGTATATTTTGGTTATCAGTTCCTTATCTGAGGGAGAGTTTGCAAATATATTCTTCCATTCTGAGGATTGTCTCTTCACTCTAATTGGAGTTTCTTTTTTTAATGAGCAGTTAAATGATTTATCGAGTTTGATTTTTTTTACCTGGAAAGTCAAATATTAAAGATCATTAGAGAAAAAGCTGAAAATTTCAGAGAAGTAAAAAGAAAACTACCTACCATCCTAACATATAAATACAGTCACTATTAGTATTCTCTAGTATGGGCCTAGCAGATGGCATGGTGGTTAAGGTACTGGATTCCCACATAGCTGGCAACAGTTCAAATCCCAGACCGGGCAGCTTGAAAATCATACCAGGGGGACCAGCAGTTGGGGTAATGGCTATGTCTCTGGACTCCCATGTAGTCAACCGTGGTTCGAGTCCTGGACCTGGTGGTGTAAACTCACACTGGGCACGTGTGTGTGCGTGCCTAAGATCCTGAGAGGAGAATGGAGGAAAAGGGATTGTGGTGTGACCATCCCCCTTGGGGGTGATTTCTCACTTTCTGTCTCTCTGTCTCTCTCTGTCTTTCTGGTGAGCGCATGCCTCTATAGCAAAAACCTCTCCCCCACCCCCGCAAAAAAATCACACCAGGTGCATGTGTGTGTGTACCCAAAGTCCCAGATGGAGAAAGGAGGAAAAGGGATTATGGCATGGCCATCCTCTCTGAGGGATGATTTCTCACTTGACTTCTCTTTGTCTCTCTCTTCTGACCGCACATGCCCTTTGGCAAAAAAAAAAAAAACCTCACAAATAAAAATTCTGTAGTGTCTCCTATTGTACGCATGTATTTTATTTATTTTTCATCATGCAGTCACACTGCGAATGAAATTTTATGTCTCGCTCTTAACTTCAGATTATATCCATGTATCATTGTCAGAGCCTGCAGGGGAGCCATCAGTTGATGTGTCATAGTTATTTAATGGTCATTCTGCAGTTGAATATGTATGTCATTTCCAATTCCATGATACGAACAAAGTTGCAATGCAATTAGTAATGCTTTGGGACAAATAGACCTTAGATTAATTTGAAGAACTCGGGCAAGAAGGCACAGGATCTTCTGTATTATTAACAAGAACTGAGTCAGGCATAACAGTCTGGGTTTGTCTGACTATAAAAATAGGAGATTAAAAAAAACCCTTTCCCCTTAAAATATAATCTGGGACTGGCCCCATAGTGCAGTGGGTAAGCTCTGTGTATTATGAGTCAGATCCCACATGGCTGACTGTGGTTTGAATCCCAGTCCCAGCAGCTTGAAAACATGCTAGATGCGTGTATAATACATGCCCCAGATCCTGGTAGGCTGGAGAAATGGGAGGAAAAAGGATTGTGGTATAGCCACATCACATTGGGGAGTTGTTGTTTTTTTTCTCTCTCTCTCTCTAATGAGTGTATGTGCCCTCTGGCAATAAAGTAAAAAAGTAATCAGATGCTTTATTTGTGCACTGGTACATATGTCCAAAAGACTAATTCTGAGTGCAGGCAGAGGATCAGAGGCTGTCCCAGCAAGTTCCGAGCTGGTCATCAGAAAACGTCTTTCACAGACCAGCAGTTAGCATAATGGCTATGTTGCTGGACTCCCACGTAGTCGACCGCGGTTCGAGTCCCGGACCCGGTGGCTTAAACTCATGCTGGGCACGTGTGTGTGCGTGCCCAAGATCCCGAGAGGAGAATGGAGGAGAAGGGATTGCGGCGTGGCCATCCCCTCTGGGGGGTTATTTCTCGCTTTCTGTCTCTCTGTCTGTCTCTGTCTTTCTTGTGAGCACACGTGCCCAATAAGAAAAAAAAAACCTCTCCACAAAAAGAAAACATCTTTCACCAGAGGGCTAGTGACCAAGGCAATTGGGGCTGTCAGAACTATCCACCCATATCTTCATGATGACGGACCACAGAGCTCCTGCTGGTTGTGAGTGCTGAGGACACAGCCTTAAAGACTGGCCTCTGTCCTCCCAGAACTTGCTGAGAGCAGGGAGCCTACAAACGCATTTACACACAGTTACACCCTCATGAGAGGAGTGTTGTAATACAGCACAGGGCAGCAGGAGAAGCAGAGGAGGGTCTCCTGTGGGGTGTCACAGCCGGGGAGGCCTGTGGAAGGAACTGGCTTTTGAGCCAAGATCTGAAAGAGAAGTTGGTCAGATGACCATGAGGGACAGAATGCTTACTGTGGCTGTCACTTCCTAGAGCTATATTGAACCATTGATATGGAGAGCTAGAAGGGACCTTACAAATTAGCCTGTGCCCCCACTTTTCTATGTTTTGTGTGCATGTGTGTGTGTAAATGTGATGGTAACTCAGGTGCTGGTGCAGGAGGAGACACAGGAGAGGCTCCCGAAAAGGAAGCTCACAGGACCTAGAGACTGGAGGCACCCTGTGTGGGGACCTGTGGGGAAGCCTCGGGACGGCCTGGAGGCAGGAAGGAGTGAGGGGGACTGAGGTCAAAGCCTTCACTGGGGTTTCCCCAGGAAGGCCAGGCAGGCAGGCTGAACAGTTTGGGCTCGCTAGTTTGAGTAATTATGGGGGTCTAAGCTGTAGGGCTGGGCCCTCATTTCCTGGTCTGGCTCTAATGTGATTAAGACAGAGGAATATAACCTCCTGGAGGGTAGGGCAGGCAGGGCAGGTGGGACTCAGGATGGGGTACTTTCCTGTCTCTAGGAATTGGCTGGACCTGGTGGGTCTATTTTTACCCCAGCCAGAAAGTTTTTAAGATGTCAGTATTTCATAATATATAGAAAAATATATTTTTTAAGTTTATTTATTTATTTATTTCATGAGAAAGATGGTGAGACACACACAGAGACATAGGCAGGCATCCCCACCAGGGTCTTCACGCTGTGGTCCCCCCTGCTCACAGCCAGCTTGCATGTACAATGAATCCTGTGAGGAGACTGATAAGCATAAAATACAGAGGAATCTGGGGCTGCGAGTCTCTGCATCGCAGATTACTGGCTCAGAGACTTTTGGTGACACTTTGCTGTTTGGCAGGGGCTCCAGCAGTTCCCTGGCGTGTGGGTGAGCGCTCAGTTCTTTGATAATGCTCCAGCCTAGAGAGCGTAGAGATCTGTGTTCCCAGTCAGGCTTAGGATCGCTGAACGAAGTGAAGCGAGTGTGAAAGACAGAGAGTGCCTCGCTTGGCTGGTTCACGTTGGCAAGCCGGCTTTACCGGTCCTGCGAGGCCGGCCAGGTGGAAGGGAGAGTCCTCACAGGATCCAAAGTCATTGCGGCAGAGGTGTGAGCAGAGGGGGATCTGTAGTCAGGGGCCCTGTCCAGCAGACCCAGCCCTGGCTGCACTGGGCGGAGGGGACGGCTTCCCCAGT